GACGTGTGCTGCTGCTGCGGAAATGTTTGTGCACGCAAAAAGAGGCGAGACATCTCAGCATGCTGTCCGGTGTCCCAGTCCTGTCCCGGTTTGACCCGGCTTCGCTACAATCCCCGCAGTGTACCAACTTCTTTCAGAACATGCACTCACACACTTACACGAGAAAATGCACACACAAACTTGTTTATTGTTGGCTCGATGTCTCCGCTGCACGCAGCATTCGATTTCGCTCGTTTTTGCTCACTAACACCATATGCGGTGGTCTCAGTCTCGCCTTAATCGGCCGGCTGTTCGCCCTGTCCAGCGCAAAAATACAAACACAAATATGTATGTACATACATATATACACATATGTATATATGCCAAAACCCGCGCACACTTACATTTTTGTATATGCATATGTACGTCTAAACGTACGTAGGCTGAAAACCAAGACATGACTAAAAGAAAGTAGGCCTGCCTGCTGCTGCTAAAGTCAAGAAGGATGTCGTTCGTACAGCACAGCCGTCCGAGTGACCGAACGACCGCACCGCACGAATAATGGTAGTGGCTCATAGTTGTCCCCTTTATTTTGACGATAGTAAAGTGTTGAAATGAAGGTACATACATATACACATATGTATACACGTATATGTATATATATATATATATATATATATATATATATATATATATATATATATATATATATATATATATATGCATATATATATATATATATATATATATATATATATATATGCACGTGTTAATGTACATTTGTATATGTATGTATATAGTATGTGTGTAGGGTCCAGTCTGTCAAAGCGGCGGCCGTTCAGGGCTGTGTGATTCCAGCATGACTTCTTCGTTACCGTCTTCCCGTTATTAATCATTGCACATTTCGTTGTCACCAAAAAAGGCCGCGAATAAGCCAACTGTGCCTAAGGCAGAGAGCGCACTGCAAACGATACCAATACATATGCAAATTGAAGCGAAAAGGAACAAAACGACCAAAAACAACCGAGTAGACGTACGGTTGTAAACAAAAACACACAGAAACGCACTTACACATACAAATAGAGGTACGCACTCTAAAGCACTTACTCCTCGTGCTCGCGTTCTCGCGCTCAGGGAAACAGCAAAAGAGGCGATTTACGTGGCCGTGGTGGAAATTCGCCGTGTTAAAATCAAAATTCGCTCACGTTTTTGCGCTCGCGGTAGTTTGTTGCCGGACGCGAGTTACTTAGGTTCACAGGACATTGATATACGGCACCGCGGTCATATCCCTTCGACAGCCGGTCGCTCAAAGACGGTGAATGTGGAATTCGGCTAAATTTGTCAACTGCTCATTTAACGTGAAATAGTTATGTTTTACTTTTTTTAAAAATTTGTGTAGTTTTTCGCAAATGAATTGGTGCTTTAGACATTGTTGAAGAATTAAAAAAAAAGATTAAGCATTCTGTGGCTAATCCTTAATCCAGTGTATCAAAGTATGCAGAAATTATTAACTAAATCAGTTCATTTTATTAAAAATATCATTTAAAATTGTGTGACTAAAGAACTATTCTGCAAATAAACAACATTCGCATCAAAATAATTTCATATTTCCCGAACCTGTATAAAAACGGTAAGTATGCGCTCCAAAAGACTAAATCAATATAATAATATAAGTACTTCCAACCAATAATCACTGAAGATATTGAAAATTGCTTTGATCCCATTTTTATACTCTGTACATGAAATGTACAAGAGTATATTAGGCTTGCGCGAGCTGAAAAATGTAACAGGCAGAAGGAGGTGCGGCAAACCCAATAAAGTATACATATTATGGATCAGCATGACAAGACGAGTCGATCTAGCCCTGTCTGTCTGTCCGTATGAACACCTGGATCTCTCCCCCCCCCCCCCCCCCCCCCTCTATGGGGGTTTTCCCCATTTTCCATCCGTATAATCGCCTAGATATAGGCACTAAATTTTAGTGCAAGATGCCCTTTGTGAATACGCAAAAAATTTGTTTTTTTTTTTTGAATATTCCTCCCTCTCCCATTTGCCCCCGTATTTCTTGGAATTTAACATTGAAATTCGGAAAATACCTCCAGTTATTAATTATGAGTCTGCGCGCTAAGTTATAATATAAGACATAATGATAAGCCGATTTAACAGGAAGTTATATCCATATATGTATCAGCGCCCGCAGCTGTTGTTGTTGTTACTGCTTTGCACAGGCATACGAGGCATAGCACAGTCACACACAATCACGCACAATTATTCTACATGTACAAGTATGTACAGAGTATTTTAAAGTCGGGACAACGACTTTAGCTTCTTTACTTGTTTTTACTAAATATAAATAATTGATTCAGGCTAAGAAATTAATATTTACTTTTAGCTGTATTTTTTCCGGGCTCTAAGCTGAATTTTTATTAAAAATTAAGGTATGTGTAGGTATATACTATAGTTATCGGATGTCTTCTTTCTTAAAAACTGATGCGTATTTAGTAGTTTTTTTTAACTTCATTCATGCAGAAAAAGCTATAGCTATTTTATTATGCATATTTAAACTACTTGTAATATAAGTTGTCATATGAATGTGGTTATACAATTTCTTCCTGTAGAGCATTTGCATAATCATATACACCTCAAAGGTGAACAATTTAGCCAACAATCTGTTAGTTATTTTATTATTACATTAACCCTTTAATGAAATAGTATGTGTGCATCTTTACGCTTTGATGCTGAAAGATTGTTTGCTTTCGTTGACCTCTATTTTTAGTTTACTATGAGAGTCCAGATTTACGGTAAAGTCTGATCGAGTTTTATTCCAGATAATAAATAGCAAGCACAATACCATTATAATTGTATATACCTATGTATGTACATACAGACATATATACGTAGGAATATCGCATGCAGCAGACTTTCGTTACAATGAACTTTATAAGTATACAAATGTATGTATGTGCAAACATACATGTACTATATACAGATGTGTGCATGTTGTACGAATGTACGATAGTTTGTTTGTGTGTGCCAGACACAAACCAAATCAACACACAAACCCACCCAGACAAACTTGGTGTAATTCTTTTATATTTATTTCTTTCATCTTTTTCTGTTGTTACTAGATTTTTTCATTCACTACTATACTATGTCCTACTTTGGTTCATGAAAAGTTTAATGGCGCGCCGGCTAGGACAAGGACAGATACCGTACGAGAGGGAAAGTAAAAATTCATCTGCTTCAGCTTAAGCTTTCGCAGCGGTTGGAAAATGGGGAATGAAGTGAAGGGTAAAAGACCTTGTGCTTTTTATACGGTTGTAAAAGTGGTATTCTATTTATGTTAGTTTGGTTGGAAACTCAGTTATTTACTCTGTTATTAGCAAAAAAATCAGCCAAATCGAAGAATTCGTGCACTATTTAAAGTAATGGTTGTACTTTAATTATACAAAAGCATATTATTATTAATTAATTAATTAATTATTGTTGGAATCTAGCATCTAGGCAAATAGTATGCTTTATAAATGTATTATTATAAAATACCCATTTCAGTTTTTATTTACGTGAATTAATCTATGATGTATTTCTACAATTAAAAACATCAATCTGATGTGATTTGCAAACAAGTACAAGTACACTCTTACACAATTTCGGCATTCTCTTAAATGCTCTCTTTTGTTGCTTGCTTTCGCTCTCATCACACGTTAAATACGGTCTCTGCAGTTTTATTTGTATGTATGCAAGTGTGTGTGACTTGTACATTGAAAGAAAGAAATCATGTGTCAGTCATGCGCAAAACTTGTTTTTCATTTTAAAATCGCGTGTCCTGCTCCTTCAAATACAACTGCTAGTTAATAAGTTTATTTGCACGTCTCGCACTTGTTGGCAGAGGCGGAGCATATTGTTATTCGCTCCTATTGCTGGTAGCCGGTGACAGGTTAAGGTAAAGGATGTGTACCCGGTAATATTTTTGACTACTACACATTCATTCCAAAAAAATGTGCGTGTGAGGCTTTAAAACTACTGTACCTCACTTGATCAGGCATCAAGTATGCCTCGACTAGCTTATTGAAGCTGCTGTTTATCTTAACAGCGCAACAGGCTAATAAAATTGGGAATATCAAGGCAACTTGCCACTCACAAACTGTAACAGCGAAAAACAGCAGAGGTGACGTTTGGGGGTGTTTCTTATGAGCGAATTTTCTGTCGGGGAGAATTCCTCCATCGTGTCAACCGCACTCGCACTAACCCGAAGACAGGTAAACAAGTTGTAAATCGCTGCTTTGTGTGCTCGGTCTTGAATCGTTTAGCTTCGTGCATAGCACGTGGTACAACCGATGATGTGCTTGTTGCTCATTCGTAGATTCGCGCTGCGATACGCGCCTCAATTTGGAGCAGGCGCTCCGTGGCGTGGCGGCAACGCGCCAATTAGCATATTCCATTGTCTCTATGTGTGTGTGCGTAAGTTAAGGCCTGTTTATTTTTGGTATTCCTTCGTCGTCGTTTCATGCAAGCAACGAGTGGCAGGGGGCGTGACGCTGCTCATTTGACAGTGCAGCACAAGAGCGGGAGCTACCGATTGAGCTCTAGTTGGCGCTTTGCGTGAGACTCTTTGCTGTAGGTATTTTGCGTATATTTGCGTGTTTTGGATGTGCGTGTGCGCACACGTACTTTAAAGTTGCATGTGTTTGTGTGGGGTCTATTTACATCGCGCGAGCATTCTGTAAAAGTTTAAAACTCGACGCGATTTTATTGGGCCATCGTGAAAACGTGCGACATGCTGACAAATAAGCGCAATGTTCCAACAACCCCAAAGTATGACGCACATATATCAACAACATCATCAATTCTATGTACTTTTTATGTGCTCCTTCTTAGCGAATGAAAACGCGTCAGTTCAGCCTTCAATTTATATATGAACACAATTTTTTTATTATTCAAAGGGATGCTAGGTATTTTCGACTTTAATTAATTGAACATCTTTCTTGCTCTTTTCAGGCGCCAAGCTGTTCGACAACGGCTTAAAGTTGGATATTTCCAGCTATCCTCATATAAATATTCGTATGGCCACGAAGGGTAAACGGCCTCTGCGTAACCTTACGCCCATTGATAAAATCCAAGCAATACAACGAATCCACGATGGGGAATCAAAGGCATCTGTTGCGAGAGATATTGGTGTACCCGAATCAACATTGCGCGGATGGTGTAAAAACGAGGACAAGCTTCGGTTTATGTCAAGGCAGTCTATGGCAGACAAACTCTGCGCTGATGCTTTGTCAGATAAGCTTGATGGCACAGGAATGCTCCTTGCTCCTCCAGAGAAACGTCAACGATTGGACACATCCCTGCCACTTAACTTTTCCAACAAAATAAAGTTTGACGACGTTGCATTCAAGCGATCTCCCATCAATAGTTTTGACTTCAATACAAACAAAGGCTTAAGTGACTTGAGCTATAACTCTGATTTTGTAGCTTTCAGCGGAACCAGATCAATAAAAAATAAAGTCTTCGGCGCGGACATAGCTAGATCCTCCGACCCATCTCTCGCCGCCATTAGCCCCCTTTCGAGCCTTACACACCTTTCAGGTCTTAGTGGCATATCACAGTCTCCACTAGCCATTAGTTTCAATGAGTTGACCTCGAATCTCAATTTTCTAGCCCAAATAAATCCCAACTTAACAATGTCTGGGATCAACACTTTTGGAACGACGACTAATACAACGCGTTCCGCAAAGACAAAAACACAATCGCAAGGGCAAAGTCCACGTAGTGAGAGCGGAGAACAATCTGGACCATTACTATCTGTTAAGAATTGGGCCAAGCAAAAAGACTTACCAACAACACCTGGAGATGGCAGCTCAAGTCTTAGCATAATTGAACAGAGTGATGCCAAATGTGGAAATATTAAAACACCTAGCCCATCCCTGGGATCATCGATTATGAGCGGTGGACCACCGTTATCAGGTCTGCCGGAAGAACCCCTTCTTTACTGGCTTAAATCACAACAGACAATATTAGAACTCAGCAATCTCTACCCACCACCAGTTGTAGTGGCAATTAACAGCCCTCCAATTCGCTCATCCACACCGCAGCATCATAGTCATCAAACCAACACATCACCCTTACCTTCAGCTCCACTAACTCCATCATCTACGCCTTCTGGCAGCCTCGATGATAAAAATACTGCATGGTATAATTGGTGTAAGGCGTTTGGGGCTAGCCTGCATACTCTTAATCCAAATGCAGCGAGTCTTGCTGTATTGCAGGCGAATTCACACCAGCAACAAGCATCCTCATTTTCGATGGATGTTCAAATGGCTGTCAACGAATCTAAACTTCCATTCGAAAACATTCTTTATTCACACCTAACAAAGGAATCAGGAACTTCTTCAGCGCACAGCTCACCTCTTAATGGGCAAATTGACCAAAGTAATGCGGATACCAACGAAGCCCCTAGCAAGCCCGAAGATCTGTCAGCCAAATCTATGAAATCGTTAAGTCTCAATACTAGTCCTATTTCGGTATCAGAACAAGGTCCAGTTGTGGATAGTCCTGCTGCAAGCCCCGAGCCAAATATAGGATTGCATTCTGAAACCGATGCTGCCACCTCAGATCTCAACAGTACTCCTGATAGCGACGGCGAAGATTGCAAAGACTTGCTAGGTGATATATTTTATAAAAGAAATAGAATTATTGCAAATGCGTCAATACGAAATGCTGTAACACCTTTATGTGTTGATAGGGTTTGTGAATCAGATGTAAGCTTCGCTAACGATAACTATCATCACAACAATAATAACATCAGCACTAGTAACAGCAACAACAACAATTCAAATAAAACTGATGAAGAGGAACGGTCAAACAATTGTTATAGTCACTCTGATATCAATAGTGAGGACGCGGCGGCTATAAGACATGGTGAAAAGTTCCTTCGGTGGCTAGAAAATTGCAGCAATCCACGTGTGACTGCAGTTCAGTTAATGCAGTTAAGGTTTCTTATTGCTGCTATAAAAACAAATTCCGAACAAAGCCTGGATAAAAACACTTTCATCGCCTCGAAAATGATGGGATTGTGCCATTCAGAAAGCCATAATTCTCAGGAGGAGACTATTAGAAATAAAACACGTCGTCGTAAATAGGAACAACCTAAATTGGTATCTACGGAGCCAGTTGCGGATACTGCATATAAAAGCCAACAAAAAAGCCAAAACTCAACTCTCCATGCCCTTAAGTTAACTGGGAAAGAAATGGAACGGGTAACAATCTAGACTTTTCGACACACAGAAGAACTCTACTGAATACCATTATTGTTGACTTTGCTCCACTTGCTGTCATTTTCGCAATACGGATTCGTACACCGCGACCAAAAAGATAATTCTGAAGATTGCACAATTACTGGCGATAGCCAGAATTATAACAAACACCCGTCAAGCAGTGATGGGCAATTAAAAATCAAAGTTATCTCTTCGGGTAGATTTTAGTTGTAGTTGACTAAACATACTCTTATACAGCCAAATATTATAGAAATGTTTCCTTCCACCCATTTAAACTTTGTTATTATAGGCCAAATAACACTCTTAGAATCTATAAAAATATATTTGTAAATACATTCGATCTTTTCTAATTATTTTAAGAAATACATAAGATAAATTTATACTTTAAATAAATTAAATGAGGTATTATTGATATATACACGCGGGTAAATTTGGTACATGTTTTTTCCAGTAGCATAAATAAAACGCCTAACTATTGGAGCTGTTTACGAGCTTGCAAATGTTCAAATATTTGCTACTACTTAAAAAATAAATAATTCTTTTCATTTGAGCCGCTACATTTTAAATAAGCCACAACTCAAGTACTATATGTATTAACTTTCGGTGCTTAAATGTAATAACATTTCCTGTGTGTGCACGTTAATTGTAAAACTGATTATAATTCCATGTTTGTGTCCTACAATATAATTATAGAAACAAAATGTTCTCTTAATTTTGTAAAGAAAATATGCAGAGTTTAATAATTTGTCAATATTCAAGTAAAATAAATTTTAAAATTTGTATAGTATGTTTCGACGTTGAGTATATTATTTACCTTATGGTATAAATCGATAAGCATAAAATATTTTTTATTAGAACAGGAACATATGTCTTTATTGTAATTAAAAATAAACAATTTAAATTGAATCGAATATACTTACTGTAACTATGAAATACTTTATAAAAAAGGTCAGTTTTTTAAACCATTGTGGGCGCTTAAGGGATATAATAAATATACACTCAACGATACAGCCCGAGAAGAAAACTTCACATATCCCGTTATCTACGTGTAGGTATACGTAAATACATATTTAGCATGACGAGACGAATCAATATAGCCGACCGTCCGCCACTCTATGATTATGTAAAAGTGTCCAATCTCTATATATATAAAACAGTTTGTCCGGACTGACTGATTGGTGATCAACGTACAGCCCAAACGGTAAAAGCTAGGAAGCTGAAATTTGGACTTAAGTATCCTTTCCTAGTGTAGGTGCCCACTAAGAAGGGATTTTGCAAAATTCGAGCTCCAAAGTGGGGGAAATCGAGCTCCAAATTTGTATGAAAAATCTACAGTTTTCATCTGTTTAACTTTAAACTTAGTTTGTATACTCTCAGAAAAATTAAAAGAAAAACTGTATACTTGGTTGAAATTTTGTTTGGGGACTGAAATACGGGAGTTTTCCTGTAAAAAAAAAATGGGGTACAAGAGGAAACCGCGTCAACAGCCCACAGCCCAAAAGGCAAGAGCTATGAAGCTGAAATTTGTGCTCAAGGATCCTATAATAGTGATGGTGCCCACTAAGAAAGGATTTTGGAAAATTCGAGCTCCAAAGGGGGGAAAACGAGCTCTAAAGTTTGTTTGAAAATTCTGCATTTCTGCACCGATCAACTTTAAATTTGATTTTTATAATCTATAAAAGAATACAAACAAAACTGCATACTCGGATTTTCGAAATTTGTGGTGGAGCTTGAAATATTTGTGTTTTAATATTTATTCACTATTTCAAATGATAAGTTTGTGTTATAAATTTTTTCCGATCGATTTCAAATTTGGGGACTGTAATCTACGTAACTAAATCTATAACTTTGCGTTCAAGGATTTTCAAAATATGCATTCTACAAATGCAGGCAGAACAAACAATACAAAATATCAAACAGTTGGGGACAACTAAGTATACATACACACACACACACAAACAAGCAGCTGTCCGTGTAGTTGCGTGCAAACGATTGAAATAGCCAAAGCAAAATGTGAGACACTAATGTGTGAATGTACACACATACATATGTACACATCTATGTAAGTAAGTACATATGTATGTTTATTCGTCTTACACTGACAGAGCAAGAAATGTTAATTAATTAAAAATTATTTAACATTTTTGCAAGTAATTTTTTCTTCTCTTAGTGCATTTGGCATTAGGGTTTTCATTAGTAACTTTATGCAGCAACAACAAATTACAAAGAACGCAAATATCAAATAGTTGGGGACATCATATACACACCCTCACACACACAACAAGCAACAGTTCGTGTCTATGTATGAAAAAGTAAAGAGAAACATGCATGCATATGTACATACATTTTTATATATGTATGCCTGTGTACGTTCATATACAGCATGTATGTACATTCGTATGTATGTAGTATGTATACATATGTTGAATTAAAAAATTTAATAATACGTATATATGTATGTATGTATATAGGCGGATAACACCTGCATGAAAAATTTAAATGTATGTACATATCAGCGTTGCCGAACGCTCCAATTTTGGCGTTCCGATTTATAAATCAAAATTAAATGTCCAGCGTCGGACTTTTTGGGGATTACTCGACCGTGCGTACAACATGCTGAGAAAGCACACAGTTAAGTCAGGACTGGCAGTCCGCCCGGTGCGTAACGAAGATATGTACATATAACCATACATATTACTTATTGTACTATATTTGCTATTTGGAAAATGAACTCTTTAAGAAACTTTAGAGAGCGTCGAAAGAAGAATATCATATGGTAATTAAACTTATAATTTTAAGCACCTTTTACTTAGCCCAGCAAAGAAGGGCAAGACCTGCTAGTAAAATATAAAATATATTCCTAATTAGCATGTCGATAGAAATCAATTAAAACATGTCCGTACATAAACCAAACTTTCCACACATCTATATATATAAAACAGTTTGTCCTGACTGACTGACTGACTGATTGGTGATCAACGCACAGCCCAAACGGTAAAGGCTAGGAAGCTGAAATTTGGACTCAAGTATCATGTCATAGTCTAGGTCCCCACTAAGAAGGGATTTTGGAAAACTCGAGCTCCAAAGGGGGGAAAACAGGCTCCAACGTTTGTATGAAAAATCTACAGTTTTCATCTGATTAACTTTAAACTTAGTTTGTATACTCTCAGAACAATTCCAAGAAAAACTGTATACTTGGTTTTTTGATATTTTTTTTGGGGCCTAAAATATGGGAGTTTTCCTGTAAAAAAAATGTTGGGGCACAAAAGCAAACCGCGTCAACAGCCCACAGCCTACACGGTAAAAGCTAGGATGCTGAAATTTGGACTCAAGTATCCTATCATGGTGTAGATGAGCACTAAGAAGGGATTTTGGAAAATTCGAGCTCCAAAGGGGGGAAAACGAGCTCCAAAGTTTGTTTGAAAAATCCGCATTTTTCAACCGATCGACTTAAAACTTAGTTTCTAAAATCAATTAAAGAATACAAAGAAAACTGCATACTCGGTTCTTAAATTTTTTGTTGGAGCTTGAATTATTGGGGTTTTCTTGGGGCACAAAAGGAAACCGCGTCAACAGCCCACAGCCTACACGGTAAAAGCTAGGATGCTGAAATTTGGGCTCAAGTATCCTATCATGGTGTAGATGAGCACTAAGAAGGGATTTTGGAAAATTCGAGCTCCAAAGGGGGGAAAACGAGCTCCAAAGTTTGTTTGAAAAATCCGCATTTTTCAACCGATCGACTTAAAACTTAGTTTCTAAAATCAATTAAAAAAAACAAAGAAAACTGCATACTCGGTTTTTAAAATTTTTTGTTGGAGCTTGATTTATTGGGGTTTTCTTGGGGCACAAAAGGAAACCGCGTCAACAGCCCACAGCCCAAAGGGTAAAAGCTAGGATGCTGAAATTTGGGCTCAAGTATGGTGTAGATGCGCACTAAGAAGGGATTTTGGAAAATTCGAGCTCCAAAGGGGGGAAAACGAGATCCAAAGTTTGTTTGAAAAATCCGCATTTTTTAGCCGATCGACATAAAATTTGGTTTCTGAAATCAATTAAAGAATACAAACAAAACTGCATACTTAGATTTTCGAAATTTGTGTTGGAGCTTGAATTATTGGGGTTTTAATATTTATTCACTATTTCAAATGAAAAGTTTTTGTTATAAATTTAGTCCGATCGATTTAAAATTTGGATAATGTAATCTACGTAACTAAATCTACAACTTTGCATTCAAGGATTTTCAAAATATGCATTTTACAAAAGCAGGCAGAACAAACAATACAAAATATCAAACAGTTGGGGACAACTAAGTATACATACACACACACGCACATGCAAACAGCTATTCGTGTAGTTGCGTGCAAACGAACACAGTTGTTTGATTGTAAAAAAAATAATGCTCTAAAAACAACAACAACTGCAAGTCATTGGCTCGCTCTTCTTCTTTCGTTTTGACCATTTAATGTTAATTGCAAAGGCAAAACGCCAAAAGTTTACAGTTACCGTCGCTAGACAACGACTGCGTAAGCGATAGTAAAGCAGAAACCGAATAACGGAGCTACGCATATTCTGCTTCGTATTGCGGGCAGATGTATGTATGTATATGATTTGTTCTTATTGATCTCAATAAATAATTAGATTTTATTATTTAAATATTTTGCTTATTCCATTCAAACTTCGATATTTTGATGGTATCGGTGGCTTCAACTATCGAAAGTCTTACTCTAGCAAATTGAGATGAGAATTGTCAGTGCTTTTTGATCGTGGCTCATCGCTGCACGGCATTGACACGTGTGCCGTGTTTCATATTCCGAGTTTGTGCGTGACCGTATTGACTCAATATGGCACGAAAAGACTCAAATGTGAATTTAAAATTAGGATATACCCTTATAATTATTCCCCTTTTTTTGCACATAGTCTATCGTAAAACGTTGCGGTTTCTCTATATATAAAACAGTTTGTCCTGACTAATTGGTGATCAACGCACAGCCCAAACGGTAAAAGATGAAATTTGGACTCAAGTATCCTTTCATAGTATCCATCATAGTGTAGGAGCACACTAAGAAAAGCTTTTGGAAAATTCTAGCTCCAAAGGGAGGAAAACGA